AAGGGGAAAGGGGAAAGGGGAAAGGGGAAAGGGGAAAGGGGAAGGGATTTCTTCCCCCAGGAATTAATACAGTCCTCCTGGTTTTCTTTTCTCTCATTTCTACTGAAGTCTGACACAAACACAAAGCACATAGAAACTTCTCTCAAACTTGTAGAAATAAAGCTTAATATAACTTTATAATACTGTATGGGTTTGTTTCCTCAGTGGACAAATGTATCAGACTTCAAGGATTTTATTTCTATAAATATTACTGAGGGAAAAATAAAACTAAGCAAACCAAAATTCCACTAAAGTGTTTGGAAATTCTCAAATCAATGAAGCAGCATTAGATCAAGAGGGAAAGGAATTACCACTCATCTGATGAAAACCATGTGAACTTCTGTTGTTTTTCCACTATGTAAGAGACTAATGTTGCTTCTTTTTTATTCTTATTTTGTTTTGTTTAACTAGTAGCACCCAATTGTCACATCTTGTTTGTGTCTATGCCAGAGAGATGCTATAGTACGAAGCTGTGAGAGAAAATAAAACTCACTTGCCAAGCAATAGCACAATTGCTTCAATAATTGCATGCTTAAGTGAACAACTGCAGGAGTTTACATCTTTTTGAAGGAAGTATTCTCCATCCTTTTATGAGGCTGATCATTACTATTTCAACTGACATAGGCCTTTTTTTGGAAGATGAGGAGGCTGCTGTTGCATATTTCAATGAAATGACGTCTGTGTTCAAGGCACATAGAGTTTAAGGAATTATGACCCAGTGCTGTAGCGTGTATTCTGCAGTTCCTGCACTGCTAAATTCAGTTGCACTGCTTACACTGCTACTCAGTGACACTCAGTGCTGCTCAGAATATCCCATCTCTGAAACAGATTTTAAGTTATAAATCATGATATAATAAATTAAGAAAGCTTTTTTGAAAAGGTTGTAATATCTTTCATTGGTTTGTGTTTGCCTTACAAAAGTCTAATTTTTAGAAAATGCTCAATAGTTTTTAGAGGTAGATGAGTCAACAGAATTCTTAAAGTAATCGTCAGCATAGATACATGACAGCACAAGCTGCCCCTGTAAACTTCAAGGTGGGATACAGACTGCAAATGAGGAAAAGCTCTACAAGGTTATCTGACTTATTATAGGAAAAATTAAACCAGTACCTTGACTATGCAGTGCATGGCATAATACTGTTACATAATATCTCATGTAAATGTTGTCATTGTATTAACTTTTAATACTGGAGATAATCCATGTTATTTTCTGATTACTAAGACAGCACATGAAAGCAGACTATCTGTAATTTAATTTTTTCTTCCAAATATAATCTTGTCACTATTTAGTGATGGACAAGGAGTAGCCATCTGCTCCTTAACTTAATTAATCACAGAGCTTGTTAAAATTGAAAAATCAGCATTTTGAAAAAGGGAAACTCTCTTTCTCCTCTGACCTTCCTTACCCTCTCAGGATTAAACCATTGCAAACAGAATTAAAGTCAGGCCAGCAGCATGCATGGGGTTTCACCAGCTGTTATTTGCTTTGCATTTATCTTCTGTATGAACACCCTCACTTCTTGCAGAGACCAAAACTTCATTCTTTACTTCCTGCAGCAAAGGACCCACACTCTAGACATGATTCACCTCACTTATTCCCTGAACCCATCACTGTTTACCACTAGGAAAGCAATAGAGTTGACTGACCTGGCACATTCCCCCCTCCCTTTAATCGCACATCTCCCTTTGGAATGAGTGCAACTGGTCAAAACAGCCGTCAATTTGCTGAGGAGCAAACAGGTATCTGCTGCTCTTTGTCAAGCTCCTGTATGTCAGCTCCTGGCTACAGCCCTTACTTCATTAACTTAGGTGCCACTTTTAACCCTTTCCTCTGCACACCTCTCATCTCTCCCAGGTCTCAAGTTGGACCTTTCCCTTCCAACTTGTGCTCTTTTCCTTCCTTGCCCACACCTGGGCTGCTGAGCTGATTTTTATAGTCCCACGTCCCCTTTCAGGAAGGATTGAGGCTGGTGATGAAGAAAGAAGACAGGAGGGGAAGAAAGGGCAGGAAAGTGAGGAATGTGGGGAAACAGGGGCAGGGAAGAAAGGAGGCAAGGGAGCAGGGCAGGGAGGAGAGCAGACAGGAAAGGCAGAATGGAGGATGGTAGAGACAAGAGAAGAGAATCAGAGGAGAAGGGCAAGGACGACTGGAGGAAGAAGAGGCAGGATATATAGGAGGCAGGAAACAGTAAGCAGGGCAAGGAGAGGCAAGGGAGACAGGTGAAGCAGAGGAGGGAGGGGAGGTAAGGGAAGTAGAGGCAGCAGGGAAAAGAAGAGAGGCAGGGAACAGGATAAGGAGGCAGGGAGGGAGCAGGTCAAGTAAGAGGCAGAGGACGCAGAGAGTAGGGAGTCAGGGAAGGCATGAGGCAAGCAGTGGAGGCAGGGAACATAGAGACAGGGAAGGCAATGAGAAGCAGAAAGAGGCAGTCAGGGCAAAGAGCATGTAGGCAGCAGGGACACAAATGCAGGAGAAGTAGGCTGGCAGACAGGAGAGGTATGTTGGGAGTCAGGAGGTAGGGGGGCAGTCAGGAAGCTGGGCAGGCAGGAGTCAGCAGCCAGACCTCGCAGGAGGCAGGGAACAGGAGGAGCAGGACAGGCAGCAAGCTGGGCAGGCAGTGTGAAAGAGGCAGCAGGCTGGGCAGGCAAAGAGTAGGGCAGGCAGCAGGCAGAGACTTGGCTGTAAGGAGGCAGGAGATGGAGGGAATAGAGCTGGCAGGAGACAGGGACCAGGACAGGGGGGAGCAGGGCAGGCAGGAAGGGGCAGCGAGCAGGAGGGGGCAGCGGGCAGGAAGCAGGGCAGGAAGGAAGGGGCAGCGGGCAGGGAGCAGGGCAGGCGGGAAGGGGCAGCGGGCAGGGAGCAGGGCAGGCAGGAAGGGGCAGCGGGCAGAAGGGGCGGCGGGCAGGGAGCGGGAGGGAGGCCGGGCGGCAGCGGCCGAGGCCGGAGCTGTCCGCCCCGCGGTGCTGAAACGCCGCATGCCGGGCCCGGCGGGGCTGGGGAGCGCCGAGAGCCGCCCTGCGCAACCCGAGAAAAGGCAAATCCAAATACCTGCACAGCGCCGGCAGCTGCCGTGGGGCTGCGTGGGGCGGCTTTTTTCCCCCTGTAGATGTCCTTGCTGCTGAGCTGTGTGAGCGAGAAAGATCTCCCGGCTCCCGGGTTCCGGCTCAGATCTCTCTAGAAAACTGAATGAGAGAGCGCCAGCTCCACGGGGCTGTGATTTTTTTTTTTTTTTTTTTTTTTTTTTTTTTTTTTTTTTTTTTTTTTTTTTTTTTTTTTTTTTTTTTTTTTTTTTTTTTTTTGGTAGGAGGCGTGTGCGCCAAAGCCTGGGTCCTTCCACTGCCGTCCCCCTGGGTCCTAAGCCCTCCTGCCGCCCGCCCGGCCGCCTCCCGGCGCTCCCGGCACCGCGGGATGCGGGCTGGGAGCTCCGCGCCGCCGCGGGAGGGTGGGAAGGGGCTGCTGGAGGCCGGGAGGGCTTAGCTCGGCGGGCTTCCACCCAGCGGCACTGGCTTCACCGCCTATTCTCTAGCGTCGCCTCTTTGCCAGCGAAAGTCGGGCAGAGCACAGCCTTCTGCGGCATTTACAGCAGCCATGGAAAGGTGATCTTAATGGGCCGTGTATTGTCCACGGGCTGCCTTAATGAGCATGGCAGCCTGGGTTTAGAAGAGAAGTTTGTCTGGGTCAGACTTCAGGGACTGTCGTCAACAGCATCCACGGGAAATGTTTAGTGAAGAATGTAAAAAACAGGACAAGCTTCACTCCTGAACTCTCTCAGCCCCTCTTCCAAGTACTTCAGGTTCAGGAATTACCCCAGCAACACAGTGACTGAGTTTTCAGGATTAACTTGTCCTCCTTGAATTCTCACAGTGTCTCCTAGAACACTTACACACTTCTAGGATGTCCTTCCATAATGCCCTTTGATTAGGCCATCTACCTACTTCACAACTGTCTTTCATTAGAGGGATGTCTAAGCTTTAGCTGTGGTGTGGAAAGAGCCAGAGAAGGGAACTTCTGCCATTAATTAGGTTCTGAAAATCACTTTCTGTACAAGCTGCATAAGACCTATATTAAACTGTACTTGGAAGACTTTGGGTGATGTAATGACCAAATTCTTACTCATCTGCTCTTATCAATAGAGTAAATCGAATTAAATGTACCAGCAAAGTGCATTCTTCTTTTGTTATCCCTGTACATTGTGGAGCATAATTCCTGGGAATTGGCAGATTAAAGTAAATTTATTTTCTTGGTGTCTTTGCTTTGGACATGTTTCCTGAATCAGTTACTGAAGGATCTTGTGTAGTGAAGAACTAGGTGGTAAATAATAAAGAACAAATTCTGCATAGGAAATGGCTAAATAGAGTAGGATTCTTCAGCATGGAAAAAAAAATAGAGGTGTAATTGTAGATAAAATAGCAGTGTGAGGTTTTTTCATCATTCATAGTATTTCATAATAAAGAGCAGTGTGAGGAAGATAAGCCAGAAGAATAGCTCAGTATCATTTCCAGTTTTAGGAGTAGGAGAAATGAAACCCACTAAGGGCTATCTTTGATTCAAACAAAAGAACATACTTCTTCACAAAATATTTAGTGAATCTGTGGAATTCATTTCCATAGGAATTCACACTTCAGAAAATTGTAGGACATATCTGTGGGAAAAAAAATCTATTAAGACTCTTTAAACATGAAGTCATAACCTTTGGTTCAAGAAGACCCCATTCCACAAATTGCTGAAGGCTGGAGTAATAGCTGGGAAAGGATGATAATATATATGCTCTGCTCTTATTCTCCACCTTAACCATCCAGTGCTGATCACTGCTGGAGATAGACACTGGGCTAGATGGACCTTTGATCTGACCCAGTGCTGGATTCTCTTATATTCTTACATACAAAGTAGACTTTGAGAATGTGAACACAATTGGATTCCTTTCAGCTTTCCTTCCCCTTAAAAGGGGAAGAACCAGCGGTTTTGCTCTTTTTCAGAGTATACATCCAGAGTCCCTTGCTTTTTAGAGGAAACACCCCAATATTAATGAGCAAAGGCAAAAAGAATCTGTGGGGGATACGACTTGTGCTTTTAGGATAATTTCCATGCAGAACCATTAATTTAACCCACAGCATGTGTAAAACTGGAATAAGAGGGTTTTGCATCCTGTGACCCAACCACATTGACTGGAAGAGAAGAAGCAGAAGCTCAAAGGCCAAGAGCTCAAAACCCTTACAAGAGCATTTGTCCCAGCACTTGATGGAAAAGCATTTCTAGCCCCAGGGAAGTTAATACTCAGTTAGTAAGTAGTCTCATTAGATCATTATTTTCTGCATAGAGATCAGTTTGGAGATAAAAGAATAAGCACTCTGTTTTCATAATCCTGCTCCAAGCTTCCACTCTTGCACATATGATAAAGATTAATGCACTAGCTACTGTAACTATGCAGTAGTTCCCTGGGAATTGTTAATAATATTAACTGGAATGAACAGGACCCTATAAACCAGCTGCCTTAGGCAGTCAAATGAGTTGCCAAATTGGATGTATGCTCAATATTTGGGGATTTAATATTTTTATTCAGTTTAATTGATGTGTTTTTTTCCTCCCTTACTGTTGCTGTTAAGTGACCAGTGCCTGCTGAGGCCCTGGATGATTGACATGTACCACAATACTATGATAGAAGAAAATCTCTAAATATATTACAGCAGGGCCTTATATTGATCCCAGTGCAAATATTCTTAGGTTTCTGTCTCATCACCACTTTATCACTTCTTCATCACTTTCTTTGTACAAAATCTACTCTGTACTCCAAGACCATGCTCCAGGTCATATCATTCTTTGCATTGTCCCAGTCATTACACTTCATCTGACACTACAATCTCAGAAAGAAAACAGTGTTGAAGATATAAAACTTTGAGTTTCATAAAGGTATGTCTGGGACATTAGAAACTCCCTTGCTGGTGTGCACAGACTGGGGATGCCTTTCTCATTTACAGTGTAGAATATACACAGCTAAGGGGAGAAAAATGTGCTGGTTATCGCAGTTTGTCACTGAAGACATCAGAACTGACTGCACACATGGAGGAAATAGGTCACTTTGAAAGGGAGGACATTTTATGAAAAAGAAAAGTAAAAACAGGAATTTGATATTAAATTTATTCTAAACTTAGCTTCCCTACTGCCACATCTATTGATACTCTGTTTAAAAAAAAAACAAACAAACAAAAAAAAAAAAACCAAAACAGGGAGAACAGGGAGATAACAAACTTGAAAAGAAAATGTATATTTTCACCACCAGTTGAAAGGATCCAAATACCTTAATTATCAAGGAAGCCACGGAAGGTCAGAGTGGCTGATTGCTCCATAGTTTAGGCATGATAAATAGTCTCTACTCTCTTTACAGCAAAATATTTTGTGTTCACTCTGTTGGACTAGACACACATTCTTTTGCAATATTTTTGACTCCCAAGATGTGACATGAAAGTAGGGGCTAGTCTGAACATTTCTGTATCTCTGATATTACTCTCTCATTCATACAAAACCCAAAACCATCGAAATATTTTAATTCATCCCCATAAGGAATGAATTTTTAACCCTAAAAAAAATTCCAAATAAGTGGAAATTTGGTCTTACCCTGCCTTAAGACTGAAATGGAATATATATATTTTTGTAACATAGACACATATTGATCTTTAGCATTTTATATGCTCAGTGTATGTGCATTTGTATTCCTTAAGCTTGGACAAATTAACCCCACTGGTTGTCTCTTCCAACATTATTCATTCTGTGATTTTCTGATATAAGAAGGGAAATAGATCCTTGATGCAATTCAGGATATACCTGGTGTCATTTACTCTCTCTATGTGATTTCTCTAATATTAAAAATGTTTTTTACCCCTTTTGAACAGGGAATTTGTGAAATAATAAAGTATTGGATGTTCTTGTAGCTTTAAATTTGCTTTTGTGAACAATTTGCTGCAAGTTTCTAAAATTAACAGTAAATTTTAATAATTAATTAGGAGTTCATTCTTTTTCTCTAATCTACAATTACAATCTGGTTTTATTTCCTTTGAAAGTAACCGTATTAAAGCCCCAGTAGGTTAAAAAATAATAATGCTAAAACTGCTTAGACCCAGTAAATCATTATTCTTAAGGGACAAATAACTCTTAGATCACAGTTCAGAGGGATTCATGTTTTAAATCCTCCCAGGTTTCCTGAACCTTTAAAATATTTAAAAATTTATACTCAAGAATGCAAAACATATGCAAATTGATTGTTCATATGATTTATTTAATGAGAAGGGTCCAATTTTGCCATTTTTAGTCTTGATGTGGAGAATTCACTCTTTTGCTGAGTTCACATGCAATCACCACTTCTGCCACTCTCAGAATAGCATATAAGTGGGACATGAGCAAAGCTTTGGCCTCGAGCATGTAGAGGGGTGAAGATGAAATGTTCACAGCTCCATGGGAATTACAGGAGCTGGTGATGAGATCCAACACAGAGCTGGAGGTCAGCAGCAGAATTCAAGTAAAGTCAAGCTCTCAGAACTGTGATCCAGAACTTTCCCCCTCAGCTCTTGCCTGTCTCTGACCCATTCTAAACCCCATAGATGGCTCATTTTGGGATTGTAAGATTCACGGTGTAAACCTAGGCTGAGTAGCTTGGTTCTAAAGATCAACCAGCATTAAAAAACTACAGATATCTCTCTGACATTTGGGTGTTGGAAACGTTGACTTTAGGCCCAGATGTGCTGTTAAAGTAAGGCACAGATGCGGCCTCATGTCTTCAGTCATTTTAACTTGGCAGCACTGCTTGTGCTGATTTCAGTGAGATAACTGTGATTTAAATCACCTGGGGACCTGCTTCTATTGAGTTCAGTTACTTACAAAGTCAGTGCTGCTCTGTCTAAACAATAAGGCAGTGTCATGCTAAAAAACTAAGTGTCCTTTTGCAGAGAGAAATAAATTGTAAGTTGTCAGGTTTTGCATAGCTACTACCTAAATTATATGACCTTTAAAGAATAGCACAGCAAACCTTTGCCATACTGTCTAAGACGAACATCAGAAATAATGTCCTTCCTGATGCAGCAATAAGGCAGCCTAAGGTAAGTTGGCAGGGAAAAAAAAGTGTTCAAGGAGCTAAGTAGTCCAAAAAGTAGATGAGTTCCTCAAGGTTTAGGATGACTGTTACAGAATAGATTCAGAAAAGTCCTCTTGGGAAAAACCTGGTTGATAACTGCTTCCTTGCTGCGTTGGG